AAATGAAGCTTTTATTGTGCTCTATATTCTGCCTCACTCATAGAAGCTTCATGGAGTAGCTTCATGGATATAATCTTACATTCAATTGTAAGTCAACCATATTTTCCATATGTTTCTTTTGAAATTTTCCTTAAACGATTAGTAAAAGAGAATAGATGCATATTATATTATTATTATGGTTGGATTGTCAGTTGTTTAAACTGTATTTGGCATTTTTATAATTTTATATTTATAGCTGTTATAGATATAATCCCTTGTTTTTTCTTAATAAAATTAATATAATAGTGACAATATAATAGTGACTATGAATCAGTGCAGAAAAGAGCAATAAAGATCATAAGGGGTCTGGAGGCTAAACCATATGATGAACAGCTAAAGGAACTACTTATGTTTAGCCTAACAAAGAGAAGGCTTAGGAAGAATATGATACATCTTCCAATACTTGAAGGGCTATCACAGGGAAAAGGAATTGATTTGTTCTTCAAAGCACTTGACAGCAAGACAATAAGCAATGGATGCAAGCTCATCAGAGGAAAATCCAACGTTAAATTAACAAGAAATTTTCTGTCAATGAGAACAATTAGGGGAACAGTGTGCCTCCTAAAGTTATGGCTGTTTCATCTTTGGAGGTTTTCAAGAAAACATTGGATAACAATTTGTCAGGAGGCAGGGAATTGCATTAAAAAAACCCTCCAAGGTTCCTTCCAGTCCTATGAGTCAATAGTTTTATGAACCCTACTGGTCCCATGTTTTAAAAAAGTTGTTTTAGAAGAAATTGCTATCCATAAAGTAACTATGAAATATGTCGCAAAGAATCTCTGCTTACCTCTATACACTTTCCATGTAGCTTCTGTCTGGAATAAATTATTTTCAGCTAACTATATTTGATTGTTTCACAGTAATGAAAAGAGTTTCAATGTCTGCCACTGGAACATACTGCCAAAAATTCAACACTGCAGAAACGAAATCTTAGTCAACCATGTTTATTTTTTTCTGGTGCTTTCTATTGTTTGTAGCAAGAGCAGAAGCTGGTGATATTACTGTTACTGGTAAGCTATGTCATTACACATACTAGAATTCTTCATTGTTTGATGTTTCTTTCTCAGTTTCTATATGAGGGAGAGTTCCCCAACTTCTCCAATGAGGGAGCTGAGAGGGAATGGTTCTGTGGGTGTGGCCAGGAAGCATGTGCAGCTCCATTAGCGCTTGTCTGCTGCTCACACAAAAGGGGATGTGCGTGTGCTCCCCCATCACCTCCACCACTGTGTGCTGGTTCCAAACAGCACACAGCACAGTAGTGGACTGTGATCTGTGGGTTGGGGACCCCCGTTATAAGGCGTTATGTTTTTAAAGCTATTGTAATGATCTGGGGCTGGGCACAGAAGCAACACAGCAGGAATGAAGGCTTAACTCCCCTTTATTGCTCCAACTTTCCCCCCAAAATCCCACCGATCACTGCAAGTTCAGGAGCAAAGCTCTAAACATGCACCTCCAATAGATCCTGGCTTCTATTAGTCCAGAGGAGCAGCACAGTTCTGAGAGAAGCCACGGTTCAGGGAATTTGGTTCCAGGGAGTCCTCGTTACAGGAAAGTTCACTTGATTGATTGATTGATTGATTTAATAAATTTATAGGCTGCCCAATCCCGAAGAACTCCGGGCGGCTTACAGAAAATAAAAATTTAAAAAGTGAAGTGTTAAAAACAAACAGAGGAAAACAGATTAAAAGAAAACACATCACACACCCAGTCTAATCAGGGCTGGACCTCGGTCAAGAGGTCAACAGCCCCAGGCCTGCCGGAATAGCCAGGTTTTGATAGCCTTTTGGAAGGCCATGAGAGTGGGGAGGGTCCGGATCTCTGGGGTTAGTTCATTCCATAGAGTTGGAGCGGCTACAGAGAAGGCCCTCCCCCAGGGTGCCGCCAGCCAACATTGTCTGGCTGA